TATCAGGGGTGTTTAAGCCAGGGTTCATGTGAGTATCACCTGGGAACTTTTAAAAGCTATAGATAGAGTACATTAAGGTGTGGTGGTACTTGCCTTAATCCCAGCACGTGGGAAGCAGAGGCAGGCAGATGGAGGGCCAGTTTGGTCTATAGGCCAGGGGCTACAGGGAGACCCTGTCTCCAAAAGAGAGAGAGAGAGAGAGAAAGAGAAAGAGAGAGAGAGAGAGAGAGAGAGAGAGAGAGAGAGAGAGAGAGAGAGAGAGAGAGAGAGAGCGCTATAGTTAGGCTGGGGAGATAACTCAGTAGAAGTACCAGGACCCGAGTTTGATCCCCAGAACCCACATATGGGTGTGGTAACCCATGCTTGTATCACACACTGGGGAGGCAGGGATAGGACCCCTGGGCTTCCTGACCAGTCAGCCTCACCTACCTGCTACTTGGTGAGTTCCAGGACAGTAAGAGACCCTGTCTCACAAAGCAAAGAGGACAGCTTCTTAGGAAGGACAGTGAGGCTGACCTCCATGTGTGCCCACACACACACCCCTAGACATGTACCCACATAAGCATGCACTCCCCCGCCACCACCCACACACACAAAATGAAAAGCTACAGACATGGAGGTCCACACCAGGGAGATTCCTACTTGACATAGTGACTGCGGGTAGAGAGCACATTTTTAAGCTGCCTGGTGATTTTCTGAAGCTCTCTTCCTGGTCAAATTAGGTTGCACAGCGACCCCCGCCAAAAGCCTTTCAGAAACTGCTCCCAGGCAGACTATGTCCAAGCACAGCTAGGCAACTACTTCATCTTACTTGGGGCTGGTGAGGGTGCTCAGTACATGCAAGGCGAGCTCACACCAGCTTCCACCAGCTTCCACACGGGGTTAAAAGTGTAAGAATGTTGCCAGCCCTTGCTGATGGCTTAAATCAGCCTCGGTGGGAATGTTTACACCACAGAAATTGGCAGATGGTGCCATTCAGGCTTTTTGTTTTTCTCCCCCAGAGCAGGTTCCCAGCACACACCTGGTTCCTGGCCTCCTACAGTGGAGGCTGGATAAACATATCTGCAGACTTGAGCCACCCCTGGATCCTCGGAATGGCCGGGGGTGGGGGTGGGGGGGTGTTACACAGACAGGACAACAGAGATGACAAACGGGACTGGATAGGAATTTGGAGTCATAAAATCCTCCCAAAGAAAGGATTCTTTTCAATCTGTTCTAACAGAGTTCTCAGAGACAAGCCTCCATTCAGCAGATAAGGTAATCTCATTAGTGTGTCATTTATCTGAAGGGAAAGGGGAAGGTGGAACCCTTATCTTACATCTACTTAACAGCCTTCATATAATCTCGTTCCTGTGACCTCATTGGGCCAGAACACCCTCTCTCCACAGCACAAAGGCGGGCTTCAGGCTAGACTCTGTCAGAGTTCTCCAAACTTCAGAACCAGATCCTCCAGATGCATGATGTTCCACCCCACAGACAGGGCAAGGGCACCTCTGCAGGTGCGAAAGGCTGCAGGCACGAAAGGTGCATGCTGGCTGCCTTCCATGAGGCCGAGGTGTTATCGCCTTCTAGTTTATAACTGTACCAGGGCAGTAGCACCCAGCTATTTCCATGCCTGAATTTTAACACTCCCAAAATGCCCGACTGAGCATTTCGTTTCTTTCAGGGTGATAGAGATTTCTGGAATGTACAGATCCAGGTTCAAATCCCAGCTCAGGCATGCATCAGACTACTGAAGGTTAGCTACCTAAATTCTGGAAGCTTTCCTACAGACAACAGTCTATCTGTGAAGATTTAAAATAAAAAGGGTACAAGGGGCTGTTGCCACTGGAGTCCTCTGGGAGTCATGCCTGCGTCTCTTGAGTGACATCAGAGACTCAGTGTACCATTTAGGTCCCTGGGAGCCACAGCAGCTTCCTGCCAGTTAAAGGTTGCAGTGCACCAGGCAGGTGGGCAAGAGACTTGATGTTTTCCTCAGGTTGGCACCTTTCCCTCCTTATAAACCTGCCCTTGCCACCTTTGTTTCTTTCTGCCTTCTAGAAGCTCACAGTTGACACCCTTCACCCAGGAGCGGGGAGCAGGGCTGTGACTGGGGTATGCCTGGGGCCCACTGAGTAGCGGGCCAAGGCTTCTTGGAGGATACTGTATAAGGAACTGCATTGTTCCCCTGATATCCTGGGGGCCTGGTGAATTGTTTTCCTGTCACCTCTCCTAAGCAGGGCAACTGTAGGCTTTCTGTTGTGTAAGTCGCTGGGTAGCCAGGGCCCAGGAAGACTGTCCTGGAGGCTGTGTGGAGATGGGGTGGTCCAGGGCAGTGGTAGTCAGGGCACTCGGGTGGAGCCTGGCTATCTGCTGGTTATCCTTATTGCTGGCTGTCAGGTTGTGGCCTTGGGACAAAGAAATCTTGGTGCCTATCTCTGGGACCGTGGGAAATGTCCCAGGGGCCTGATTCCCAGTCTCCGGGGAGAGAGAGAGAGAAAAAAAAAAAGGTAACACAACCCAACACAGGTGTCCAACCCAAAAATAACAAAGCAAAGTGAAGCGCACAAGGCTTGACTAGGGCTCTGCACTTAATACTTCCAGCAGGGAGTTGAGGAACTGTGCCCAGAGCCAGGGATAAGGATGACAGGCTAGGAACATGGTGGCTCTGGCCTCCTTTGGGTCAAGGGCTCAATGAGGGATACCGATGGCTCCTCACCAGAAGGTACACATACCTCCTACATGGGTTTCAGGGTGCCAGGGGCTTTTAAAATGGATGGGATCAGAGGATTCAAACCCAGAAGTGGGGGCAGGGGCAAACCCCATCTCAGTATCAGACTAGAAACCAACATTAGAATAAAAAGTCTATTCAAACAGCCCAGAGAGAAATAATTCCAGCCTGCAGCCGGATTAGCAAACAGCAAAGGAGAAATTCCAGGAAGACTCCCCCTTCCTCCCTCCACCTAGAAAATTACCAGCACAACTTCTATTAACAATGGATCTGGCGAAGGACACTTATCAACAACTTATCTGGCCAGCTTTCTAGACCCTTCCAAGCCCCTGCCTGAGCACACACCTGCAGCCAGACCCAGGCCACATCCAAGTGCTGATGGGAAAAACAATTTAAAATGAAACTATCAAAGGGTGACCAGTGACATAAAGAGAATCGCCACCCTGCATCTTGGCGGGGAGACAGGGTTAGGACAAAAGGCAGCCTGTGCCTCACCTCTCCATCTGGATCCCTATTAATTGTTCTTTAAGAACATTAAAGCATGGTGCCAGGGCCTGGGGACAACAGGAAAGAAAGGAGAGTCCACAGAGGCCTCACTGGCTTTTCTGGCCAGTCTGGGAGCCCGGTCATTGTTCCTTCTGTAAACACGTGAGCTGTAAAACAAATCGCAAGAAGCCAGGCTGTTCCCTTCATGCGTCCTCCAAGAACCAACTGTTCCCTCTTGGATGGTGGCCTGGGCAGACATTTTACACCAGGAATCAATGCCCCCAGACTGAGGACACCCACCCAGGTCCAGAAGGTGCTTGAGAACACATCTACTTCCAAGCTCCCTCTTTTGAAGGACTTAGCCTGTGTCAACAGGGGAACTAGGAGTGTACCCTGGGGTCCATGGGGACCTGCCTAGATCCTGCTTCCTGGGTAGGAAGGCGGGAGGCGGCCTGTTTTACTTGATGACATTATAGGAAAGCTAAATGCTCCCCAGCAGCAAATGAAATTCAGCTGCTGTCCATCTAAGGATGTCACAATGCTCTGCAAACCACCCATTAATTTTTATGGTGGCCTAAGAAGCAGATTGAAGATCATTACCGTCCTTTTTACAAGGCAAGGCACCAAAACCACAGGCACCGGGTCTCTCCCTCTCTCCACTGGGCCCACGATCTCACCGGAACACCAGCTGGAGACTTCATGACCGGCAGAAGCAGCCTATGTAGGGAGCTAGGCCAAAAAAAAAACCCCGCAAACTTTGAACCCCAGAGATTATCAGAAAGGTGGGGAGGGGAAGATTGCATAAAATGGGTTTTCTCACGATTAAATTTGCAAGGGTGTGACCCCCACAAATGTAAACGCTCGGGCTGGTAAAAGCTGTGGGATCGGCGGGGTGGCTCTGTTGTGTTGTTTATTTCCACGTTTTCTGCTCAGAGCACGTATTGCTTTTGTAATCGGAGCAAAAGTTATGCGAACTTTATTACTGCTAATAAATCACAGAGCACCAATCTGCTACACTAACAAGGGAGGAATAAGCACGGAACTCCTTTCCAAATCTCATTGATTCACGAGGCTCCACAACCTCCACACGCCGAGCGCCCAGCCAGCTCTTCACCGCTCCCCCGGCGCGACATCTGCACCCCCGGGAAGTCTGCACCCCCGGGCCCCCCGGTGTACAGCGAAGTCCGCCCAGCCTGCACGCTGCACAGCCAGACCCGGCTGGGACCCTGGAGGACGCTCATCCGCAGCGCCCGACGGCTTCCCGGTACACCCCACTCGCAGAACGACGCTCCCGGGTCCCAGCCAGTCCCACCCGCGCGCCACCGGCGCTGTCACCTCCCGGCTGCTCGGTCACTCGATCGCCGAGAAGGAAACCCGAGTTTTCAGTCGCATCCTCCAGGAGGGCTCTCCGAAGAAGTTGAAATGTGCATTGTCACCAAGTTTAGCCAGGAGCCGCGCGCCCTCCCTCGTCCCCAGGACCGCGCGGGGTGGGGGGCGCCCCGAAGCCTTCCCAGGCTCCCCACGCTCGCGCGCCCCCAGGCCCAATAACCCCAGCGCGTCCCCGATCCCGGGAGCGGCGGGAGCCCAGAGGCCGCTCCGGGGGGGACAGTGGCCAGGGCGCGCAGGGCCAGCGGGCGCACGCGGGGCTCGGAGATGCCCGGGGCCGGCCGCGACCGAGCGCCCCGGAGCGCGGGGACCAGGGATGCTGCTGCCCGGAAACCGGCCCGCCGGGCGCGCGGTAAACGGTCGCCGCCCGCCGAGGGGATGGGGCGCCGCCCGCCAGCCCCTAGGCGCCCGCGCCTACCTGGCTCGCATGGCGCCCCGAGGGTTCCTGCGGCTTCTCTCGTCCTCCGGGACTCACCCGGCCGGGGGCTCGGCTCCGGGAACCTCCGCTGCGACGAGGCGGTGGAGACCGGAGAGTGCCCGGAGCGCTCGGCCCCCGCCCCCGGGCGGAGAGGTGGTCCGGACCGGGGCGGGGCTCAGGCGGCGGGCGGGGCCGGGCGCTGGCGGCTGGCGCTAGGCAGCG